CGTTTTGAATTATAATATGATTTGATGTGTCAAATAGCTGATAAAGTTTTGGACGATTTTGTGATGCTGGCCATGCACACCGTGGACATATTCTGGTCATATTTCAGAACCGAATGACCAAATCAAAATAGTAGGTGATCTTAAACTTTTAGATGAAAGAATCCTTAATTTGATGCAGAAACTTTTAAGAGCAGTTCACTCGTGGCAGGGATGCTTAAATCTGAAAAAGTTGTTTTTATATTATTCATAAGTGCAAAAAGGGTGAAATACTAAAATATCTTTTTTTCAAGTTTTCGCCGATGAAATATTTTCAAACTTTCACAGTTTGTTTTTAACCCTATTGACTAACTTTTGATGAAAAAAACATCCGAGGTTCATGCAAGATTGATAATATTTATGGTCCGATACCCCGTGAGGTGTATTTGCGAATATACTGGAAATTAGTCCAAGGCTCACATCGACCTTGCGATTAATAGGCAATCTAGTATTATCATCCCGGAAACTGAACCACATGAAAATAGATCTCCTGTACAACAGTCTTGAGCAGCAGGTTTAGGAGGAGTTTCCATTCATTCGTCAACTACCACCGTGCCTGCACAAGTACCAGCACTTTGGAGAAACATCTCACAGACTGGTATTTTTTTTCTGCATGAAATGTGTGAAATAATCAATAGTGCTTTTTATTGTTTAAGCGTTAAACGATGAACTTCGTAGATGAGCAATCTGAAGAAAGCTGCCACAAAAAATATAAAAGCAGTCGAATGAATCTGTCACGTAAGACATCTGCAATTGACAATCTCACGGACATGATGAAGACAGCTTTATCGTGGACAGATCCCAAGTTTTCTTGTCTAGAACAATTAGCGAGTCGCAGGAAGAAACAGTTTGATCTACAAATGGAAGATTACTTGGATAATATCTCAAAGATTCTAGCTCAGAATCCAAGTACAGCGAAAGTGGTGATGAAGAGGATGATGCATAAACATCGCCAGAATATAAGTATCTTCAGTTTACCGAAAGCAAAAATTGTTTAAGTTATGGAGAACAAATTACATTTTTTAGATTAGGTCACCACAAATCATGTGAAAATGCGAATAAAACGGGCATTTACGAGCTCTGCCCTCTGTTATACCTACTGTAAACGATTCTGTGGACATTTTTGCATACAAAAAGTGCTATTTTATCGTTCGTAATTGTTTGCGGTTTGAGAAAATCTTGAAATCCACAGCACATCTTAAATTTTGTAGGGAAATTGGAGTAAAACGGGCCTTTACCATACTCTGCCGTCTGTTGGAACTGCTGTAGTATTTTTTTGGAAATTTTTCGGTTGGGTTTTGAAGAAATGTTAAAATTCTTAGCAAATCTTATATTTGTAGGGCAATTGGGGTAAAACAGGCATTTAGCGTACTAGGTTATGATACTGTAGTCGATTTTTGAACATTTTATGGTATATTGAGCTGAATGTCATCAATCATATCATTTTCACAGTCATGAAATGGATAAAATTAACAGTGTGTAGTGCTATATATACGGAAATTGTGGCAAATAAGGGAAATTGATGTTAATTCGGCCTACATGCCCTTAATTTGGGCCCATACATAAATTCGGAAGTCGACTAAATTTTCAATAGTGACCAAAAATATCAGTTTTTACCGTCCCAATGACGCGTTCATCTAGGTAAAATTGAATAATAGCTGATTTTTAGCGATATGCCCAATCTTAGATCCATAGGCCAACATTAGAGCCATTTCCCCTATATGAAAACAATTGATGACAATCGTTTCCTTGGCCATTTTAACACAAGAATAGAGTAGATTTGATGAGTGTGTGTGGCTTAGTTACGAAAAATAATGAAAACTGTCTGGTTATACTCACAAATCATATGGAAATAGGGGTAAATCGGGAATTTTATGTGCTCTGCCGTCTATGACACCTAGCACAATCGATTATCTGGACATTTTCACATTATAAAAGTGCTCTTCTATTGGTTGGGATCGTTTACGTTTTGAGAAAATCAATTAAGGGTAACAATTGCTGAATTTTTCCCACTGTATTCTTCTTCTTCTTCGCATTTCAAGCTTATTGCAAATCGCATATTAGTTTATTGCGTGCTCTTAACTTAGTGTTCTAGAGACACTTCCACAGTTATTCGTTGAGAGCTTTCGATGCCTGTACCATTTTTGCATTAGTATAATTGTGTGGCAATTCCAATCATACTTCTGCCCAGGGAAGTCGAGAAATTTTCCAACCCGAAAAATTCCTAGACCGGACCGGGAATCGAACCCAGGCACCTCCAGCATGGTCTTGCTTTGTAGCTGCACCTTAACCGACTGAGCTAAGGGAGGCCCCATGCCCCATTTTCCCACTGTGCAGTGGCTCAAAAGTTATAACTTTTTGAAAAAAGTCATTTTTGAAAAAAAAAATGTTTGAACCATGAAAATGGTCAGCCTACTGACGAAAAAAAAAAAAATACGGGTCTAATATTTTGCGATAAGGAACAAAACTACCAATTTTAACGAAATTCTGAGAACCACTATATCGTTTTGCTATGGAATGTCTGTATATTAATATCTCGGAAATGGTTTATTCTAACATTTTATCATAGTTTGTACACATTATCATCCACTTACTCCTATTTGAGATATGAACATAAAAAATACTCTATATAAAAAAATGAAATGTTTGTAATTCTCCAACAGAAAGAGATAGCAATTCAAATTCTTGAACAAAAACATGCACCATTAAAAGGAATTAAGTTTCTAGAACAAATCTTTTGCGAGAAAATACAGTTTAAAAATATTTATTTTTTTAGGGGTCACCCTTTAATTTTTTTAAATCCAGTATAACACGAATACCATAAGATATATAAATGACGTATTTTTAGCAAATACTCAAGCTCAACTCATGAACCGGGAACCAACGGCTTTACTGTGATCAAGAGTTGTTATGCCTCAGAACATCCCGGCGGCGCCGACTGGGATTGAACCCAGGCCATCTGGGGTGAGAGGTAATCGAGGTTACCACTACACCACCGGCGCCGCAAATTTATACAACTTTGTGCAAATTTGTGCATTATGTTGGCCTATCTCAAATAACTAAAACGATGATAATTTTATCTCAATAACCTTATGAATCATCTTCATTTCAATTACAAAAAACTATTTTGAATACACCATTTTACCTAAATGTAATGGTATAAGCGCAAAAAATCTTGTTTTACTAAATACGGCTTTGGGCCTATTGTACATACAGGTTTTGTCGAAACCGGGTCAGGATATCAGGAAAATGACCGATCTTAGTAGCTCCATGCAATTATTTTATAAATCATATTTTGTTCTCATTCCCAGCAGTGATTAAGTTAATTAAAAATATTTAGAAAAATTCTATTTATCCGGAACATACATCTGTGACTTTAAAATTTCACGCACTTCTGACGAAAATGCAAATGAAATTCAGTTAGAATCATTAAGTAATTTGGCTTTCCTGTTATAATTAATGGAATAAAATCGAATATTTTTGGTTAGAACCGACTCCCGGTGACCACTTGGGTCCATTCTGGACCGTCTCACAGCAAATCAAAGTTAATTTGTATAGCTTTCATTTGCAACTAGTTTCATCAAGTTTAGTTAGGAATTTTATTTTTGACACAAAAACAGATGTCTTCAATAGGTGGCTATGGGCGCTGGAGAGTTAAGAAGAAAATTTACCGCACCAAGAACCCTCGCTACGCTTCCGGTATTTCGGGGAACGCTGTCAGTGAAAACTCCCGTGCCGTCAGTCCCAAGAAATTGTCAAGAAAAACGAAAAAGTTAGACCTTCGTTCAATGTACATTCTCAAAGGAGAAAAACGGGGGCAAAAGTAATTTCCATCACCATCGTCGTTCTTTGCCGGCGACAGCGCTACAGCGAATGAAGATTCCCCCTTTGAACATACTATAGAAATGGAGAGACACACTTTTGCAAGTGAAACATAAAACTACATCGGACAAACTTTAGTCTTACTCGTTTCAAGCTTCGGGTGTTCGATCAAACTTTGATGAAAGAAAATGTAATGAGAGAGAGATATTGTGCAAACAAGCGTGACCTAGACCAGGTGAATCGTAGTCGAGGTAGGATAAATAGACATAACTTTAAATTGCATCACATTCCTTCCAGGCAGCTGTTTTTTATTTTACCCCAATATGAAGCTCTGCAAATTTGAAGGTAAAACGATAAGGCGACATTACAAAACGCAGAAGCCGACCGTGACGACGCAGAAGCTTTTCATTGAACAAAAATACTTTTTGCTGAGAAAGTTCCGTTTTTCAGATACGAAAGAAAAACAACAGCTGGCATATTTCCCCGGGAATATTTTGACGATGTCGAGGGGGTACACGGTGTATCTGGTAGAACAACATTAATATCAAAAAATCGGTATGGCTAAAACACACACTAATCGAAATCTGAGGTGCTCCTCTTTCAATTGATTTACACCAAAAAATACGAAACAAATAAAAATTGATCTAGATTCCCCGATAGAAGACTTTGATAGAGGAGACTGGACGAACGTGATTCCCCCATGGTTTCTCCAAAACCAAAACTTTTTTTTTTTTTCAGACAAGTTACCACAATCATTCATCTAGACGGAAGGTAAAACTATTGTAACATTTGAATCAATTTGCTTAGACAGTAGACACCTCTGAAAAAGTAGAATCGATCTGTATCACATTGCATTGGATTGATAAGGTTTTATATTATTGTGGGATCATGTTGATTTGATATTGAAATACTTAATACTTGATCCCAGCAAGTTTGAACACACTTGATCCCGGGATCAAGTCTCCCCCAAAAAGAAATCACCATGTTGCCTTTGCATTTAAACGTCAAAAAAGGAAAACAAACAGCCACATCTGCATCAGTTGTAACGTTTCCTATAAGTGAAGCGAGAGATTTCACTTATTTTATATCAATCAAATTGAATCCTACAAATTGGAAGAGAAAATAAACCGTTCAAAGCTTACCAGAATTCCACGAATCCCTGATGTATTAACAGTGCCATGAAATCCCCCGTCAGATCATCCCGTTCTCCCGTCAGCAGCAGGATACCATCAAACGACTCCGGACGAAATTCGATGTGTAGCTGAAAGTAATATAGAATTGAAAATCAAATGTTATCAACACGAGCCTCACGAACGGATTGTGATGTCTAAATGTTATGCACTGAATCCAACTTTTCCAAATAATCACTGAAGATCCCAGCCATTATCAAGCACATAAAAAATCATCCGTTTGCTCAAAGTACCCAATTTTATCACCCGCTCCTATTGGTTTAGGATACTTCCACACATGAGTAAACCTCCGAATCGGTACACAAAGGTGAATCCAAACAGTCAAACACAGTCCGCCGAAAAAAAAAAAAGAAATAGTAACTATTTTTAAAGTCGTGCTAGGCTCCAGGAATAGCACTAGGGAGCGATGCGACAGCAATGGCCAGAAATTGTTGTATGCGAGTTATTGTTGCAGGAGTGCTTTTTTTTCGCCTCGTTGCCTTATTTCCGACCCATTTTGTAGCTACTGTTCATTGTGCCAGGTGTAGTGCAAATATCTGTTGTGTTCAGCGAAAACCCCAGCGGCGACGGTCGGGAGCAGCAATGCCATGCGGACTAGGGCCAGCGTATCGAAACGATACTCTGCATAAAGCCACCATGTGTGTGTGTGTGTGTGTGTGTGTGTGTGTGTGTACAATCCATACACTCCACCAAACAATGCCACACACGTGTATGAATAGGTAGGTGCAGATCGCCGCAGCCGCACCATTACCATTGATCAAAGGAAAAAATTGCCGGTTTCAGTTTTGCTGTTTTAGTTGCACCAGTCAGCCGTGGCTTCAGGAGTAACGTTCAACCGTGCAGCAAACTATTTTTCATCAGGTTTGTTGATCAATTAAAATGTGAAGCCTGGTGTGGTATGATTTTTTCGCAAACGGATGATTTCTTCCGCTGATCATCGTGAGGGCAGCAGCATCAGGAAATGCGAGTTTGATTTTTAGTGCCAAAATAAATAGACGGAATCAGACAGCACACCCTCAGGGTTGCATGGGGTGCATTTGAATCCAATACTCACCTGAACGTGTTTGTAGGCGCCCCGCAGTGCCGGAAAAGCGAGCCACGAATGCTGGTTGAACCGTGGTGTGTTGATTCGGGAATCTGGAAAACAGAATGGGAAATATTTGAATTGATTAAAATGCGGCCTTTTTTTTGTTAACGCTTGAAAATTTGTACGAAAGCAATCACAGATGAAGGTAACCCTCTCGAGTTTGGAGATAGGAACACGTTTTGTATGAATGATACAATTTCTACCTATATTTCTCACTGGATGATGACATAGTGGGCGCTTTATTATCGTAAGGGATTTCCCTAAGAAAACTATAGCTACTGAAAATGGACATTCATTTCAACATACAGTCAGCCCAAGTAACATTTTAGGTTTTATGAAGTACTACAAAGCTACTATAAAACAACATTCATAAAACCCAGGTCAAGGCTGTTTGGCCATTGATGCATCCACCAATACCTCATTAAAGCTAGAATGTTCTGAAGGGTATATTCTCGAAGCTCTTCATGAATGATTTACTGCAAAAAGGATGTATGACGACCGCATTAAGAACCATTTGAAACCCGTGTTTCAGCAACAATGACTGCTATTTGGGAACAATAAAAACCTTGTTCGAACCATTTCCATAGCCGTTTGCTAAATCCACTAGAAAAAGCTTCATTCAAGATAAAAAGGATTCAGTAATACCATCCGATCTTATCAAAATAATTACAATAAAAACTGAACGTTGAATATTCAAAATTATTAAAATTGTTCTCATAATGTGGCCTAGTTTTGTGTGACATATTAAATCTTTCGTGTAATGTACTTGAAAACATCGAAAACAAATAAGTCCACCCACGAAAAACGTCGATTTAACTAATTATTTTGAATCGAGATTTTTTTTAAGTTGAATCATTTGTGAGTCGAGATATTATTAATGATTTTCGTAATTTAAATATGTTCTCATTGCATCAATTGACTTAAATAAAGTCATATCCAAGTAGGGTAACTGATGATGGTTGGACCTATTTAGGCCGGTTTCACACGACGTCAACATTCATATCGTATTTTTTTTATGAATGCAACATATAATTATGAAAAATGCGTGATTAGGGGAAAGATCTACCTTTCTTGTTTCTAATAATAACATAAAAAGTTAAATATTATGAACAAATGATTTTATAAAACGTTTTTATTCAGCAAAGAATTATGATGTTGGTTGGACCTATACTGATCTTGGTTGGACCTAAAAAATGATGATGGTTGGACCAATTTTTGCAAATGCTAGTTTAGCCCATATTTGTTCAAAAACTTATTGGTATCATGAAAAAAACCCTTTTTATACAGTTTTTATGAATTTGCTATTTAAAAAAATCAAGAAATTTGAGTTTAACTTCGTTTTTAAAAAAGTTCACTTTCCACGCATTAGCTATTCATCATGGCTCATTTTCTCGAAAATCATTGACCCGATTTGGAAATTTGTTAACGTCAATATATAGGTATCCTAGTCCCATTGAAAGCTATCGAATATTTTTGGAATCGGTCTACTGGTTCCGGAGATATGGCCGGAACAAGTTCCAGGGTATATGGAACATGGACCTAATTTTGACATGGAAGGAATAAAACCTATCATGCAACACATCGCAATACTTCCAAATTCGATAACAAGATCAATAACAAAATTGAGTGCCTTGAACCACATTGGCCACTTCCGGGCATGTTCTGGGTGCCCCGGGGAATTTAGGGGCTTAAAATGACAGAACATCAGAACTCAATTCCGCTCTTATAGTTTTTTTTTTCTCCTAGGAGTTTTTTTTCGAAAATAAGTTTCAGTTAGCAATTTTTAGTTTGTTAACATTTTATTTCAAGTTAATTCACACACAGAAAGTGTATGAGAAGTGCTTAATGTTAATTCATACTAACAGATTCTTTCGGCGCTTTCGTGGTAGTTCGGAAATCGGTGGTTACCCTTTCAGCCAACCTGACGATGGAATTCCTCCTTTAAATTTACGCCCAACTAGTGACTCAAGGTATTTAGCAGCTTCCAAGATCTTTTTGTTCGTCTTGGGACTGCCAGAAGCAGCGCGCATACAAACCCAATCCCCAAGCTGGTTCTCCAAATCAACACTCAAAATTATTTCCCTTCCATATTTCTTGCCGTGGCTTCCCTTAATTTTTGCGTGGAGTGTCGTTTTCGAAATATTGTACCTTTTCTGTGCCTGATACGCGGTAAGTGATTTATTTCTTACTAAAAAAACAGTCTCTTGAAGATTTTCGACCGTATAACTCTTTCCTTTAGCCATTTTTTCAATCGAAGAAACTGATCACTCGGCCAAAACGAAATCGAATTTCAAATCAGCTGCGCATGAAGGATGTACACAAACCGAAGCGCACCTAGCGGCCGTCTTAGGAAACACATAGGTCCAACCATCATCATGCGTAGGTCCAACCATGATCATATTTATCTATTCGAATTTCGTCAATTATTCAAACATTTTAGTGAAACCAATAGGTAAATCGCGTACTTACGTGTTGTTTACACCTTAAAGCAGTATTTTACTGCATGAAAATAAAAATATATGTAAAAATATTCCTTTTTAGTATGTTTGAAAGTAAGGCATGATGACGAGCTAATGCGTGGAAAGTAAACTGTTTTGAAAACACATTGAAACTCAATTGTTTTGAAGTTTTTTTTTTTCAATAAAACACCCATGCAAATTGAAGAAAAGGAGTTTTTTATGATAGTAAAGTGATCTTTGAAAAAAAAAATAAGCGAAGATTGACTAAACTAGCGATTGAAAAAATAGGTCCAACCATCATCAGTTTTTGGATAGGTCCAACCATCATCAGTTACCCTAAATAAACACTGAAAAACGAAGATTGTGAAAATCAAACAAAATAATTGTAATATGGCGGTGGCATGAACATTGATTTTCATGGCCCATTTGTGAAAAAGTCGTTTTGCTTTCATGAATTCCCTCACAAATTCATAAGGTTTTAAAATTGCTTTTATGAAGAAGCTTGCACACTGAATTGTATTTATCTAGAGCCATATTGCTTGATTCTAACCCGTTCGGATTTATGGCAGCATTTATGGAGGCAAAGTTGCCTGCAAGAATTTAAACGTCAAAGTTTGTTTATCTTTCGATGGTTGCGTTGTGCGATCATTGCAACGAGGCTTTTTTTTCCTCTGTTCGGGACCTAACACCACTGCGACCAGTAATTTGATCTATTGTAGTATATCCAGTGTCCTTAGTTTAGTGCATGTCGTATTACCATAGAGGTAACTCTAAGACCAGAAGGTCCCGAAGAAACGAGCTAAACTTTTTGGCTCAGCTCTGGTACTCTCTTCGGTCCCTAGCTAATCGATTCACCCCTCGAAACATTGGAAATCCACTAACCCCTCATTTTATCTGTCAAACTTTCATAGCGAATCAAAACAAACATAGTGTAGTACTGGAATTTATACTAGAATGGGGTACGTTAATCGTTTGCTTGGGACCAATAGGCTAATCAAGTAGTGAGCCAATTTGAAATCGTTAGTTTCGTATTGATTGTTGGTATTACTCCATCACTATTGAGAAATGATAAAGTATTCGATTTTTTTACAGTTGTTATTCTCGCATTTATCGCCAGGATCCGACTCTAATTAAAAGGTCCCGCTATTTATACCCTTCGGAGTGTTGAAACACCCTCCAAAGGCGGGCTCCTTTTTCAGTCAGAATTGGATTCCTTAGCAACAAAATAAAGGAATGACACCGATAATGACAATGCATCAGAACCCTAGCCTTAACCACTTCAAAACTAGGGAACAACGAATTTAAGATTAGGAATCATATAGATGAAGAGTAATTAACTCATTTTTTCCTTGTTTCAAGATAATCCTCGGTGGACAAAGCCAAGTCTTGTCACTATCAACAAGGCATAAAAAGTAACAAGGACTAAGATGTGTTCTTTGGATTACTGAAAAATCTTGTTCCCCTAGTTTCAAGTAGTCAGGACTAGGAATCGGTGGTAGATCTTACATCCCGTAACGTACCACAAAAATGTGATCTACCTACGTTACGGGGCGTTACGAGGTTTTACTCCTGCGTTCTTCCAGGTTATTTTCTCCTAATGGATTTGAAGAAGTTACTCAGGATATATGCGATAGTGTTTTGCAACATTTCGCATATAAAACAGAACAGCTGGAAGCTCAATCGTTCCCGAAAAATATCCCCTTCTTCCGGATGGTTCCTGAAGTGCACCATCGAACGATGCAGGAATGTACGCTTGAATGAATTTTCTCGAAGAGTTGACCCTTTCGACGAATAAAATTGCTGTCATGGATCGGAAACCAGCTAATCTCCGCTAATTGACAGTTTACTGCCGGTATTTATGCAAGTTCCTATCGCCATCTATACGCAAGATCTGGTGAAGACTGCAGTCTGCTTTTAGACCGTTTCATATAGGACCGTGTCGCCAGTCACAACGTGATGCCAGAGCCTTCGACAATGTTTTATGAATTCGAAGGCCACGATGCTCTCACTCTTCTCCGCCAGATGCTCAGTCATTGATTCAACCGGACGTGTTGGTTCTTTTAAATAAATTTATATTTAGTTGAAATCAACTTCCCTTCGGTCGTTAGCATCGCTTGAATTCATGTTCAATGTGTATGCAGACTAATTCTCGCGTAACATTTGAAAAGAGCCTATCCTCGTTGATCGATTCTCTTCATCGACTTTCTCTTTGGTTTACCACGGCAACATAAAAGAGTTTCTCGCTTAGCTCGCAGCACAGTTCGACAGAAGATTATGTTAGCTTGCGCCTGAAACAACACACGGGTTATTCGCGAAAGAGAACATCGAAGAAGAAAATCGATCAACATTGATACGCTCTTTTCTCGTGTTGCGAGAGAATTGTGGTTTTTATGATACACTTTCAAGAGCCTAAAATGTAGCAATATATACTTTTAGCTCGCATTTAAAACCGAATGGTTTAATGGTTGCTCTTATAATGATATAACACTTTTATAGAGTAATTTATAAAGACATTAATAAACAATTTCTTATGAAGTTTATGATTGATTTACAGAACAGTTTTATGGAGGGATTCAAAGCTGCTTTAAATT